GTCCGTCCGTCCGTCCGTATGTATGAACGCGTCGATCTCAGAAGATATAAGAGTTTAGAGACTTTAAATTTTTTTCCTAGCTCCGTGTATATCACGCGCATATCAAGTTTATCGATAACTACTCCCGATATTTTATTATCGATTAGAAACCATATGGAAAGCTATTATTATATCTTCTACACTTTTAGAGCTATAGCTTCCCAATTTTAAATGTAGACTTATGTGTATTTTATATAATTTCTATTATTATAATTTACCCCCCACCCCTAAATTCACCCCCTCACACTCACTTTCGTAAAATCAGATTAGAGGGTTCAGGGTATCTCCTAGTCGAGCAGTCTCGACTAGAGTTTTCTTTCTTACTCACCGAAAGAAATGATAAAGTATCATTCAAGTTTTGTTTTCGTTTCAGCATCAGTTAGTGAAACGATAAAGCATCATTCAAGTTTTGTTATCGTTTTAGCTATCAGCTAGTGTTGCCAGCTTAGACTATGTCAAGCAAGATTTATCATATTCTTTTTGAATACACAAACACATTTTCATCTTTTCAAGTTCATATACATAGTACTTAATATTGCAGCATGTTACTTACTGAGTAGAATATAAAAAAATGAAAAAAATTTTATTATCCAAACATATCAGTTAGTTTTTTTAAATATTGAGAGCTTTTGCTGTGCAAAAATTAGGGTAGAAGTGGCTTAAAATTAAAAAGAAATGCTGGAATAGCAACAGCATTTATTTTTATTTTTTAGCCGATTTTTGCCTGATTTTTTCTCAGAAACAGCTCTCAATGCGCACTAATGTCTAGGTTTTTGTTTTACTCTGCAGCAATGCTTGTGATGCTCAAGCACATGCAAATATCAGTATATTTGGAAGACGACCGCAAGCAAGTATACCAATGCAGGCTTCTAGTTCGTATGCACATGAGTGAATATAAAGTCAGTCACAAAAGTATTCGTCTTATATATACATATGTATATGCTCATTTTTGCTCAATGTTCAACAATGAGATAAATTTTTTTTTTTTACAAGATGGAAAATTATTAAATATTTTAGCTTTTCAAGTTTTATGATTTCTGGCATACCGAAAGCGGATCGGGAAAATTTTAACACAATTTGAATCGGATAATACACGAGTATTTGTACCAAATTTTAAGTTCTAGCTTCAATATCGCCGAAAGAAATTGCGTTTATACGGACAGACGGACGGGCACAGAAACAATATAACAATTTACTTTCAAGAATGAGTATAAGGACCACATACAGAGAGGTCCCCTACAGACGAATAGTTTGTGAATATATATTTGTTGGTATAATTGAAATTGATGCTAGTATTTACTTTAGAATTTTATGGTTTGGAAGTATTCTGAAGATGACTAATTATATTTCCTCTTCCGCAGGTTCGCTGGTTAATTTGTCATGTAATTATATAGGTCTAAAGTCTGATCCCAAAAAGGGAGTATATCTCTATGAAGTGCGATTCAATCCTTCTGTTGATTCAATTCATTTAAGAATTAAGTACTTAAATGAACACAGTAAAAAATTCGGAGGCATTAAAACCTTTGATGGAACTACCCTATACTTGCCGATTATGTTAGAAAAGGAATTGACAACTTTTATTTCAAAAAGTTGTTCCAACGAAGACATTGAAATCAGAATTTTATTTAAGAAAAGAGAGTCCCTTAAAAATTGTATACAATTATACAATATATTATTTGATCGAATCATGAAAACCCTAAACTATGTTAAATTCGATAGGAAACAATTCGATCCCTCTCGTCCGAAAGTGATTCCAACAGCCAAGCTGGAAGTTTGGCCAGGTTATGTTACTGCTGTCGATGAATACGACGGAGGCTTAATGCTTTGCTGCGATGTATCCCATCGTTTGCTTTGTCAAAAAACGGTGCTGGATATGCTAATAGAGATTTATCAACACTGCAATACCAACTACCAAGACAAAGCTAAAAAATACTTAATTGGAAGTGTAATAATAACACGCTATAATAATCGGACTTACAGAATTGACGATATATGCTTTTCACAAACTCCATATTCAAAATTTGAAACAAGAACTGGATTTTGCAGTTACATTGATTACTACAAAAATCACCATAATATAACAATTAAAGATGGCAAACAGCCATTACTCATTAGCTTAAAGCAGTCAAGAAAAAATGACACCTCAAATAAAGGAAACTTACAGTTTTGCTTGATTCCGGAACTTTGCTATCTTACCGGACTCCATGATGAAATTCGGGCCGACAAAAAACTAATGCGTGAGATTGCAACTGTCACTAATGTAACACCGAATAATCGTATGCTAGCGCTTGATAAATACTTTAAAAACGTCACAGAAAATGATGGTGCTCGAGAAATCCTTGAAAACTGGGGATTATCACTACATAAAAACTATCATAATATATTCGGTCGGAAAATAGATTCGGTACAAATTTATTTCGCAAAAAATTGTATTTCAGCCGGACATAATGCAGAATTTTCCAAGGATGCCGTAAGAAACGAATTGCTGGAAGTTATAAATTTAAACAGTTGGGTCCTGATTTATCACAAAAATGATTTAAAAGCTGCTAAATCATTTTTACACAATATGAAAAATTGCAGTGATGTCTTCGGAATGAACATATGTAAGCCGAATGTCATTATTTTAGAACATGATCGAATAGATACATATGCCGATGCTTTACGTCGGAATATTTGTACTAAAACTCAAATAGTCGTATGTATATGTCCTACTAGCAGAGATGACAGATATAGTGTTATTAAAAAAATATGCTGCTCTGAGATACCAATCGCTTCACAGGTAATACATAAGAATTTGGCAATACATAAGAATAAGTACGAAAAATAAGGCATGACATAATAACATAAACATGTATTTTATCAAATATATATATATATATATATATATATATAAATATATATATAAAAATATATATATATATATATATATATATAGAGGAAGAAAGAGTATTTATACAAGTTTGTCTACCCATACCAAAACCCTTTTCAATGGGCTTGGGCTATACAAATGTGAAACATTTTGCTATTAGGGATGGCTTCTAAATTTGAATTCGGAATAACATAATTAAATTACCTTTAAAACGTGGAAATCATGAAATCATGATTTTGTGAAAATTTATTTACAAAGAATATAGATTCTTGATTAGGGGAGACGAGCTGAGTCGACTTAGCCCTGTGCGTATGTATAAACGCGTCGATCTCAGAAGATATAACACAGTTTAAAAACTTTCAGGGCCGTGATAACTTTTCAAATTATGTCTCCTACATCTTCAGAATTAAGTGTTGGTTAAAATAACTTATGAATCAGGTTGTAGGTCCTATCTTACAAACAAATAACCGTTTACTCACGTTTATGAATTTTGTCTGACTTTAAGCCGAAGTTCTTCAAACAGTTAGGCTGCACTAAAGCTAACAATATATATTAAAAAGAAAATAAATATATTGGACTATTAATATTGAAATATTTCAATCATTTAATTAAGGTAATAAACTCAAGAACATTATTCAACGAATCAAAAAATCGATCAATTGTTCAAAAAATTATTTTGCAAATGAATTGTAAAATTGGAGGATCATTGTGGACCGTAAAAATACCTTTCAAGAATGTAATGATCTGTGGAATAGACTCTTATCATGATCCGAATCAAAAGGGTGGCTCTGTAGCTGGTATGTTTTAATAATTATACAATAACTAAATTATCATGTCCCTATTGTCTGAGTTATTATTATAGCATTTGTAGCTTCTCTAAACTCATCCTATACCAATTGGTATAGCAAAGCTGTAATACAATCTAAAAAGGAAGAACTTGTTAATGGACTAACATCATCTTTTGAAGCTGCTCTAGAGAGCTATAAAACCCGAAATGGTCAGCTTCCAGACAATGTAATTATTTACAGGTATGAATAGTTTATTTGTAAACCCATTTTCAATATAATATATATATAATAATTTTGTTAAAATATTTACATATGTCATAAATTATATATATTCTTAATCAGGGCGACGAGCTGAGTCGATTTATCCCTAACTGTCTGTCTGTCCGTATGTATAGCATAATAACCGTATATATAGCATGGCTATCGAAATTATCTCAAAAAAATCAATAATACATCCTATTATTTTGTTATCGATTAAAACAATATAAAATTTTAATAATAAAATTATATCTTCTACCTTTAAAGAAATCGCCACATTGATTTGTAAAGGGCGTATTTCAAATACTAGAGACTTGTGCTTTGGCAAATTCACGCATTTCATTTTTATAATCACGATGTTATTTATTTTATTATTATTATGTATGTATGTACTCGGGTTGACCCCCCAAGATCAAAAAGCTATTGCGAATATATACATATATGTATATCTAATTCTATTGAGGTCTTATTGAGTCTCTTAGAGTTTTAAAGCTCTAACGCTGAAGTTTTGCTCGTAAGCTAATGTTGCGATGCTATAGAGATTGTTAAAAAATGTATGCCTATATATCTACGCTCACGGTGGGCGTGGCAAACCGCAAAAGCTTATATCTCCTACATTTAATAATCTGTCGATTATTTAGGAGCGTGGCATCGTAATTTTTAGATCTTTAAAGCGTAGCATTTGAATTTTACAGTTACGTTCTATGAACTGACCAAAAACTGCATTTTCCGTGTATTCGTGGATGTAGAAACTCAAAACTTTGCAATTAAATTGCTTTTAGGATCCTATTTTATATGCACATATCATGCACATATTTTGCTCTTTATTATGTATGGGGAGCCACCAGGTCTTCGTCTTTACGAAACTACTTGAATATTAAGTTATTTTCAGCTGACAAATATGCTTATAGTATTCCGCGTTCTCTGGTTAATGTTATAGTCTCTTAGAAAATTCATTAATCATCAATAATTTAAAATTATTTTCAGAGATGGAGTTGGAGATGGTCAGTTAAATTCGTGTGTTTTGTACGAAATCCCGCAGTTCGAAAGAGTTTGTGGTAAAAATATGAAAATCACTTTTTTAGTAATTCAAAAACGTAATAATACTAGATTTTTTTTGGTAAGTAAAAATGAATTATAAAAAATGGTTTAAATTAAGCGGAAAAAGTAAAAAAAAAAAAAAAAAAAAAAAAAAAAAAAAAAAAAAAAAAAAAA